ATACCGGGCTGCCGTCAGGATACCGGGCTGACGACAGGATACCGGGCTGCGGACAGGATACTGGGCTGCCGACAGGATACCGGGCTGCCGTCATGATACCGGGCTGCCGTCAGGATACCGGGCTGACGACAGAATACCGGGCTGACGACAGGATACCAGGCTGCCGACAGTATACCGTCAGGATACCGGGCTGCCGTCAGGATACCAGGCTGCTGACAGGATACCGGGCTACCGTCAGGATACCGAGCTGCCGACAGGATACCGGGCTGCCGACAGGATACCGGGCTGCCGACAGGATACCGTCAGGATACCGGGCTGCAGACAGGATACCGGGCTACCGTCAGGATACCGGGCTGCCGACATGATACCAGGCTGCTGACAGGATACCGTCAGGATACTGGGCTACCGTCAGGATACAGGGCTACCGTCAGGATACTGGGCTACCATCAGGATACCGTCAGAATACAGGGCTACCGTCAGGATACCGGGTTGCTGACAGGATACCGGGCTGCCGTCAGGATACCGGGCTGCAGACAGGATACTGGGCTGCCGACAGGATACCGGGCTACCGTCAGGATGCCGTGAGGATACCCGGCTGCGGACAGGATACTGGGATGCCATCAGGATACCGTCAGAATACATGGCTACCGTCAGGATACCGGGTTGCTGACAGGATACCGGGCTGCCGTCAGGATACCGGGCTGCCGACCGGATACTGGGCTGCCATCAGGATACCGGGCTGCCGACAGGATACCGGGCTGCTGACAGGATACCGTCAGGATACCGGGCTACCGTCAGGATTCCGGGCAACGTCAGGATACCGGGCAACGTCAGTATACCGGGCTACCGTCAGGATACTGGGCTGCCGTCAGGATACCGGGCTGCTGTCTGGATACCGGGTTTCTGCCAGGATACTGGGCTGCCGACAGGATACATTCAGGATACCGGGCTGCCGTCAGGATACCGAGCCACTGTCAGGATGCCGGGCTGCCGTCAGAATACCGGGCTACCGTCAGGATACCGGGCTGCCGCCAGGATACAGGGCTGCCGACAGGATACCCGGTTGCCGACAGGATATCGTCAGGATACCGGACTGCAGACAGGATACCGGGCTACCGTCAGGTAACTGGGCTGCCGACAGGATAAAGGGCTACCGTCAGGATACCGGACTGCAGACAGGATACCGGGCTACCGTCAGGATACGGGGCTGCCGACAGGATACCGGGCCACTGTCAGGATGCCGGGCTGCCGTCAGGATACCTGGCTACCGTCAGGATACCGGGCTACCGTCAGGATACCGGGCTACCGTCAGAATACCGGGATGCCGTCAGGATACCGTGATGCCGACAGGATACCGGGCTACCGTCAGATTACCGGGCTGCCGTCAGGATACCGGGATGCCGTCAGGATACCGGGATGCTGTCAGGATACCGTCAGGATACTAGGCTACCGTCAGAATAACAGGCTGCCGTCAGGATACCGGGATGCCGTTAGGATTCCAGGCTACCGTCAGGATACCGGGCTTCCGTCAGGATACCGGGCTGCCGTCAGGATACCGGGCTGCTGTCAGGATACCGTCAGGATACCGGGCTGCTGTCAGGATACCGGGCTGCCGTCAGGATACCGGGCTGCTGTCAGGATACCGGGCTGCTGTCAGGATACCGTCAGGATACCGGGCTGCCGTCAGGATACCGGGCTGCTGTCAGGATATCAGGCTTCTGTTAGGATACTGGGCTGTCGTTAGGATGCCGGGCTTCCGTCAGGATACCGTTAGGACTAATACCAGCAGACTACCGGGCTGCCGTCAGTATACCGGGCTGCCGTCAGAATACCGGGCTGCTGTCCGGATACCGTTAGGATACCGGGCTGCTGTTAAAGTGTGGGGCTGCCTACAGGATACCGGGCTGCCTTTTTCTTGGGACTCGGCTTGGAACTAGGCTGTATAATCATCAAGGTCCATCAACACTCTCTGAATCGTGATGGTGGTAGATTTCGTCTTCCGCCACTCCTGACGTCATCAGGCTTTCTACTTTCGGGAAGTCAGCAAGTGGATTAGTCATCTGATGAAGGTCAACGAATTCGACTGAATTTCTTCATTCCAACTGTCTTACAGGTTAACCCACTTTTTGATGGGCAAAAACAGACAGGACCGGTCTATTCCTATTGATATCCCATTCAAAGCGAATATACATTATGCCGTTGACACACCCACAAAAAAACTATTTTCATATATAGCAATTAACTGTGTTTTGCCACAGGAGGTGGATGGACCGTGATCCAACGGAGACTGGACGGATCGGTCGCCTTTGACCGGACCTGGGAGGAGTACAAGCACGGGTTTGGGAACAAGGATGGAAATTACTGGCTTGGGAACGAGAACATCCACCTCCTTACTTCTAAGAAGGACTATAGTTTGCGTATCGACCTGGAGGATTGGAGTGGAAATAAACGCTACGCGGAATACGACACATTTAGGTTGGTGTTCTCTAGTAAGAATTCTATTAGCAAAGCATCATTGTTAGTAATTCACTTAGTAATTAACATAATCTAGTTTAGTTTATGGTTTTCTAAATTCAAATGACAATATGTTTCGTGTAGAATTTCTCTCCTTTGTCATATTTCATTTCAACATATCCTCATTAGGCAAATGACAAAGTAACTTCCACTTGTCACAAGGTATAGAGTTCACATCATTCACCAATGAGTTACAGAATTTTACATCAATTATGCAAATAAGGTCATCGTTTGCATAATTGCTATCTGTTCTTACATGTATAAAATACTATTATATAAAACAATGTAACTATAGAATTTCCTCCTTAATTATGCAAATTAAGTCATCATTTGCATAATTTGCATTTAATTATGTACAACTCTCTCTCAGCTACCTATACACGAATGTGTATACAAAAATGAAAATACGTTGTTTCTATCTGGACTTACTGGCTTTTAAAGATTTCGCCAGAAAGTCCCCTGCAGTTCCAGAACAAGCTGCTAGGAGGACCAAGCCCACACCACTTATTCATGACAGTAAAAGTTATCTGTCACCAAAAAGTCAAGACCATAGCATGTTCAGGACAAAAGATAATAAAAAAACTGGAAGTTCTGCTGCAGTACCAAGGTCATCTGCCAGGAGGCCCATATTTGACCTTGACGTTTGTCTTCCTAAGACTTACCAGCATACCAAATATCATCACAATCCATAAGTTATGAGGTAATGCTGACTACAAATGTGCGGAAACACAAACACACACACACACACACACACATACACACACACACACAGACACACACATACACACACACACCAAACACAAGACCTACATTTTTCATGGAGGTAATGGAGGTAACTAGCAGCAGATCGTGAATGAATGTGTGGACACAAGTTGGGATACACTGTAGGTGGAACGCTTAGGGTTATTAAATATATGAGTGTACTGCTGTGGGTTGTGTTGTGGGGCCGTTTTGGCGTAAAAGCAGAAGATGAACATTCGGCTCAGAACCGACCGTGCTGGGTTCGAATTCTGCCAATTAGTCAACCCGAATGAATTAAAGGTTTATTCGTCAAAGCACATATAGCATCCATGGGCTGGATTGCGTGTTTGAATACAATGACAGATTAAAAAGCACACTTAAAAGTACATAGTTTACTTGAAAACACTAAACGTAATTCAATTTGTACATACCGACTGGCCTGCAGGTTTTAAAAATCAAATTTCAATGTTCTATGACCATGCGTACTGTTTTACTATCACTGGTACTGATTGTTTAACACGTAATTCATATTTACAGTTGGAATGTTCTGAAATCATTTTGTTCTTATTTTGAGGTTAGATGTCTCTCTCATGGTGTCTCTGTTGGAAATTTCACCTTTAGAAGAAAGAAGCCAGTTCCTTAATGTGGGACACCTCAGCAAGGACTATGCAAACTGTTGGCAGAGTTCAAATCGGCGTTGAGCTAGCTATGTTAGTGAGAGTTCTTGTAGAGCTGAGCTATAGCTAGTGTAAGACCGACCCATGATTATCTTGCATGCCCTTTTCTGGACCCACTCAATAGACTCTGATTCTGCTACAGTCAGTCCGGAGTGCCATACTTGGCAAGCATAGTATTACATTCATACAAGCATAGTACAGGGCGAACAAAGCCGATGTACACTAACACAAGATCACAAGAGTCTACTAGTAGTAATTGTCTACAGAGAGTTCTTAGCATACACAGTCTACTACTACTCCTGCTAACAATCATAGCAACATGTTTCGACTAAGTTGTTCTGTAGAATCACGCCAAGGATTCGTGCAGTGTCGACCACTTCAAGCTGGGTAGGTCCAATTGTAATCCCAAACTTGTGCCCCTGGGAAAGACACTTTACTTTCCTCACCTCACTCAAGTGAAAATGAGACCATGCCAGAATGATCATGATCTTGATCGTGGGCATTAAAGAAAAACAAAACATTTCTTAATTTGTTCATAATTTTTGCTATTGTTTTAATTTTATGAAGATTTACTCATTTGTCGAATGACTGACTCTTCAAGATGTCAAACCTGACCACGCCACACAACCCCACTAATAAGAGATGTAATGTAATGCTCCCATCCAGGGTGGCCGGTGAGTCGGACGCGTACCGGCTGACGGTTTCAGGGTATTCAGGCACAGCGGGAAACTCCGTGACGGCCAACGATGCAGCTACGAACAACGGGCGGATGTTTTACACTAAGGACAGGACCAATGGGGGCAGCGGCACCTGTTCTAGAACAAACGGGAATGGCGGCTGGTGGTATGGGAAATGCGGCTATGTCGGTCTCAACGGCCAATATCTGCCCAACTGTGTGAGTTCCTGTTCATCCTGGATTGGTCTGGTTTGGTACGAGTGGCCGTTCCATAGGGGCCCAAGTTACTCTATGAAGACTTCGTCCGTAAAAATCAGGCCAAAATAATTGCATTCGCTATACTTGATCTGATCACACCCAGTTATCCACAAAATCATCAATCTTACATGTCTGTAACGCTGACAAGTAACACTCTTTATTGTAGTTTCTTGGTCTGTTACAAACTTACACCAGTACAAGTCATTTTGAATGTATCAGTGAGGCAGACATCTGTGTTTAGATAACTGGAGACGTTTTCAGATATAGTCGATATGGAGCAAAATGTTCAATTCGAGTTCTGGATACAAGTGACGATAGTTAAAATTTTTAGCGACTGATCAAAAAAAATGTCGGTGGTTTCTTTGGATGCTGGGAGCGTCTGATTTAGCATATTGATGTATTTTGTGAGGTATTTCTAAATTCTATTGCTGTAGAATGGCAGAAACATGCTAATGGAACTGTAGTAATGTAGTCTTGGATTCCTTATTATAGAAGACTGTGCAAATATATAAACTACCAGCTGTCCAAATATAACCTAGTATATAGTCTTCTGTAGAATAGATTAGCACCCAACTGTTATGGTAACCATAGTTACCCAGAAGTAGAAGTCGACTTACATTGTATCTTCTAAAATTGCTGAGTAATATGATTTCGTACCTTCTGAGCCGATGATTTTTCTTCCAGAAATAATGAATATCCTACTGTAAGTAAATTTCATGTAAGGTTAGTTGATAATTGTGTAATTGTAATGTTGTAATGAAGGGTTTCTTATCAAGGTGTAACGTTATGTACCTTAGCAAAATGGCATGAAATAACAGCACAGGCCTCGAAATTAACTTTTTTTACAATTGTCCCAGAACTGTCCCAAAAATAGATTTCAATTGTCCCGAACTGAGGATGGACTGTCCCAGCCTGCTTTTCAGGAATTAAGTTCATGACAACAATACACAACTCAATTTCAATTTTGTACAACTTGAAGTCCACTTAATAATATTAGACGTACAGTAAATATCATTTTTCCCACTTTAGGAAAATACATGATACATGTAGTATCATGGGCGCAGCACCATCTTCAACACCCCCCTCCCCATGCAACATTTGGAATCCCCGATTGGTCAAATTTAAATGTTTGTCATAGTATTATGGGCTGCCGTCAGCCCGCAGCAGGATGGATGGATCACGTTCCTAAATGACGTGGACAGTCTCAGATGAGAATTTTTCAATTGCCCCAAAATTGTCCCGAAACGTAATTTGAATTGTCCCAAGCTGAAAATTTAGTGTCATTTGACACTGGGACAATGTTAATTTCGAGCCCTGCAGCATGATGGAAGAACCAATATTCAATCCTTATTTTCAAACTTGCCTCTTGTCTCTGCTAATGTTTGGCAGTTGTGTCATGTTGCACTGCTGTACTGAAACTAAAACTGGAATTTTACTACATATATGTTTGGCAGTTGTGTTTTACATCGTACTACTGTAACACATGTACATTTATGTACGTAAACAGCGGTGACTAGAACTATTATCATGGAAAACACTTTAGGTATAAAAACCATTAGTGACTATATATATAAGCCTAGGTTTATGTCATGTTTCCTGTTCCAGTCCAAAATTGTTTAGGGTACATTCGGTAGAAATCCTCTTTTTACCCTCCATGTAATATATAATGGGGGTATTGTTTTTGGTCCGTTTCATGTTTTGGTCTGATATCTGAAGATCGGTGAAAAGGAACTGTATGATATTTGGCAGATTGATGGATGGGGCCTTGGAGATTGTGTAGGTTGACTTTGAGCCCCTGGTGATTGACCTTGGTACTGCAGTTTAATTTTTTTATTCTATTGTTGGCGCGTTATGGACTGTTTGTGCGATATTAAGGTAGCATGTAGTTGTTATTATTATGGTTTAGTAGTTTAAATTTGGGTTTCCTAGCTGTTTGCGTTTGATATTTACAAAATGTTTAACTTTGGTCTTTTTGTGTTGAATGTTTGGAAAATCTGGTGGATGGTTTGGTATAATTTTTGGTATGTGGGTAGTTGTTGAGTCTCTTTGTGTTTTAGAGTGCATTAGCAGGTTGTCGTATATTTGTATTGCTTAATTTAAAAGGATTTCTACATTATCACCCCTATTTTATAGTAGTGTGGTCTGTGTTTGACCACAGTGTATCTATTTTTACCTCCTGTTTGACAGGCTATATATTTCTTTGGTCTGGTCATTGACCTGCCGGCCTTGCTAATGGGGTGGTTTGTTTGTACACAACACCAACCTCGTTCATGGAGGGAAGATGTCTATTGCTTTTTTATTTTAGAATTTGGGTGAAGTTCAACTGACTCTGTTAAACAATGTGAAGCTGAAATGCACCATAATCAGGGCTGTATCCTTTCCACAAACCCATATTTCACCCATATATTCGGTAAAATGGATTGGACAATGCGTGAAATATGATTTCAGAAGATTTGAAATTAGAATGAAAATTTTGTCTCTTGTCAACCCAAAAAAGACTATGAAAAAAGTCTGAAAACTGGAAACACTACATTTTCCTAGGTCCCATCGCATATATACAGTTAGGTACCATACAATGTAATGTCTTACATAATATAGGATGTATTTTTGTTTTTGCTAATGGGTGAAAATAAAGCCTGCACTGCTGGTGTTTCTATAATCTCATTGTTGTGAAAACTTTTTTGTACATGTGTAAACTAAGGCAGAACCTAACCGAGTTTTGTAAACCAGCCCGCCCAGACTTTATAGTCCGGGAGGAGATTCTCAGAAGAGGCCTAGAAAATCAAAAACGTAGCACACCATTTCAAAAATCAGAACATGAACACTTTCCAGCTACTTGCGATATTCCCCAGGTTTGACGTCACTTGGACAGGTAATACTCAAATTATGCTGCTTTATTCTCATTTAATGGCCGGTTTGCTTAATTTGCATAAATTTGCATAAAGAGCCATAGAACCATGATGCCCCACCTGGACCATAGAACGACGTATCTTAAAATGATCAGGGGACATTAAGGTATCATTCTATGGTAGTGGCCAAAGTACAAATGTATATAAGGGGTGTGCTACGACACAACTTTTTTCAAGCTTCTCCTCCTGGACTATTACCACAGATCCTTGACTCAGACAGCAACTGAGCTAGTATAACTAGCGTGAGCAAGTAAGTTAGTGAACTTGTGAACGTGATGTTTGACTGAATGAATAAATCACCGTGTGGCCGCAGTCAGCTTTATTCCATTCGGTACAAGGCAGGACCTCCGCACAGAGAGGCGACCGATGTTACAGGGGAAAGATCTGTCCCCGGTACTGAAAGCCTCCCTAATCATTACACGACACTTTAACCTGAGCACAGGCAGCACCAATGGAAAATGGCCAGAGATAGCAAACAGGTGGCCGACATAGATGGGATTCTTCATCTTAAATAAAACCCTTAAAACTGTAAATAGTGTATGTTACAACTGCTTAACAAAGGCTTTGCACGGCAACATATTAAGGAGTCAAATGTTATCTTCTTGTAACAACTGGATTTACATAATTTGCTCAGCTTATGATATCTTGTGTAACTTGAGGTGAAAGTCGGTTTTAATGAAAGAAATATACATTTCACCAATACAACCTCTACACATAGTCAATCCATCAAATTGAATCAGTGTGGCCTTATAATGAATGATGAGTGATACTAGTGATGCTACTGCGTATGATGGCTGGCTTCTGTAATGGAGATCTGCTGGAGATGACTGGACAGTTGTTGTAGAGGAGACAGTAACAGCTGGCTAGTTTGACCTGCCTCAGCAGACAGGATTGACACCACTTCTCCAAGGCACTGTTCCATGGACGGCAGCTGTGCATAGTGTTCCATGTCTGACTTGGACATCAATAGGCCATCAACAAGTCCTCCTGAATAAGACATAGAACAAAAACATTATACTACTCATTCTATCCAGAACAAAAACATTATACTACTCATTCTATCCAGAACAAAAACATTATACTACTCATTCTATCCAGAACAAAAACATTATACTACTCATTCTATCCAGAACAAAAACATTATACTACTCATTCTATCCAGAACAAAAACATTATACTACTCATTCTATCCAGAACAAAAACATTATACTACTCATTCTATCCAGGTGCAGGGTTTTCTATAGATGGATCATTGGGAGGTACAGTATACCCTTGGCAAACCAACAGTACTGACAATCTACTGTTAAGTACTGGTGTCATCTACTGAACAGTAAAAGATTTACTGAAAACATTTACTAAATATTTACACTTTATGCAAATTCCAAGTAAATAATCAGTAATTGAGTCATGAAGAAACAGTAAATGCCAGGTAACATTTACTGGTGATACAGTAAATATTTACTGGCTGAACAGTAAATGAGTGAGTTGACAAAGCAGTAAATGATGGTCTTGACAGTAGATCCTACAGAGTCAAGCACATGGTTGTTTTTAGAATACAACACTCCAGGAATAGCTCATCTTTTCCTTGCCATACCAACCAAGTAAGACTTTATTAAGTTATCAATTCTTGCTGCATGGTGTCATGGGATAGTATTGAAAGTAGAAACACCATAGTTTGAAGATACTTATTAACCAGGAATGTCTCAATTTGTTTGGCAAAAACTCAGTGAATTGTGGTAATCCCCTTGTAGTAAGTTGTACTCATGGATGGAAATGTTCAGTGCTGTGGGTGAATTCTATATGACCTTAGTTGCCTTGCTCCCCATGCAAGTACCAGGAGTCCTATAGTCTGATAACTATGACATCTCCCTTTCTTCTTACCTTGAAGTTCAAATCTTTCTAACCTTGCCCCCCTCCCCACCTACCCCTGGTATTCTATCTGACCTTGCCCCCCTCCCTACCTACCCCTGGTATTCTATCTGACCTGACCCCCTCCTCACCTACCTTCAGTATTCTCTCTGACCTTGTCACCCTCTCCATCTACCTCGTTTTTTCTAACCTTGCCCCCTTACCTACCTACCTGATGAGTACATGTATAATTAGGCTCCCCTCCCCACCTCTATCTCCTGTCTATGTTGCAGCAAACACTGAGACACTGAGAGCTAAGAACTGTGGGATTGCCCAAAATATATTCAAAACTGCACATTGCAAGGCTGTGATTGGTGAAATATCCCAGTAAATGGCCAGTAGTAGACAGTAAATGGACAGTAATGGTCTAATTGGTCAAAGAAGACATTGGTTAAAATGCCAACAGTAAATAGAGGCATAAGTACTGACCAGTAATGCTTCAGTAAAACAGTAAAAGACGATTTACTGAAGATTTACTGAAATTTTACTGTTAGTAGTTGATCAGTACTTAACAGTAAATTGTCAGTACTGTTGGTTTGCCAAGGGATGCCACGAAGTGAACATACCAGGCTGGTTTGTAATTAAAACAATAGATTTTGAACTTTTAATGAAACAAAATTGCATTGTTACATTGAAAAACTTAAGAACTAGGAAGAAAAGGACTTCAACTGTTAGGGACAAAATATTCATTAAGCATTTTGCAATTAATTTAGAACCCCACAATTTTTTTTTTGGCAAATCAGAAAAAATGGAGCGGGCGATCCGAGAAGCAACAAATTAAATTGGTGTGGCCTAGTGACAAAAAAAGAATTATGATGCAGTGCATGTGCTAATATGCTCAACTTGCCAGTTATCAAATATCATGTACAATTTGTTCAAGGTTTATGATCAAGGACATTCTATACAATATCCTTGGTTTGATCATAACCAATGTTCAAATTGAGTATACATCATTTTGTGTTGCAATTACCACTCTAGTAATAGTATGAACTAGTGAATGAATAATATTAACTTTTAGGTAAATTGCATCTCAAAGATGACAAATCATGGAGACAATTTATAGCATTAGAAAATGAAAATCAGGAAAACTTGAGTATAATTTTTAGATAATGAATCATTATACAAAATCAGTGATTTACCACTAGAATGACAGTTTGCTACCTTGGCTACATGAATTATAACTAATAGATGATTTGCCAAACCTGTTTATGTAACAGTAATTACAACTACCGGCATTATACCTGTATGTCTGCCCCACCCCCCACCCCACTCACATGGCAGGCAGAATGTTATTCAAAGTACGTTGCGAAAATTTCATAGTGTATTCGAAATATTCCGCCCCATTTCTTTCTAACTTTGAATGCGATCAGAGAGAGCTATTTTCAATGCTGTTGGAATGCAGCAGTACATGTAAGATTGCAAATTTTTACATGCTCATTCTCATCTTACATGTATGCCCAGCCTGATTGAGTGGAGTCTGCATGGATACCAGGTTATACTGAATAGTGAATTCTAACTGTAGAGTGTTATAGTATTACTCCTGACTGCATTTAGTGCCTTACCTGGTTCCCAGATAGAAGGGCAGTACAAATATTGCCTGTTCGGTGCATGACAATTTACCTGCATCAAATATGCACTGGTTCATGTACTAGTTTTATAATATAAAAGTGTAGGCATCTGTGGATTTTATTTGCTGCATTTTCACATTGTATTAAGTTCAAAAGAAATAAAGGCAATGGTTTCCAATTTTCAGTGTAATACATAAGGGGTTTTTCTAGAAAAAATTGGCAAGGGAGCGAAGCATTCGAGGGGGGATTTTTTATGAGAGTGACATAGTTTGTAATGCTAGAATATATATTGCTGTATTGTTTTTACATCTTTACTGGAAAAAGGCCATTTAAAAAAAAAGACTAAACGGTGTTCAAGTAGCCACCTAGGGTTCAATTATCTGGGAATTGATATGAGGGAGCTGGCTGGTTACATGAGGGAGCAGCTCCCCTATTCCCCTGTTTAGAAAAACCCCTGATCCATGATTCCTATGTTCTGAGTGACAGTGAGTGGTGCAGGTAAAATGTGTCTGGTGCAGGTAGTTTAGGTTAGAGTAACTTACACATGCAAAGAAAACTACTAGAAGCCCAGCTTAAGTTCCTTGTACATCAGCCTGTGAAGCGGTTCCATTGGGATTCCAAACAGTCCGTCTTGTCCTTCTGGTTCCCCAGTATTGCATGCTGCGACTCTCCATCCTACGCGCTGCCTTTTTCTCCACTTCAGCGTACTAGCAATACAAAAATTGACAGAAACAAATATACATATGCCATATGTATATTTGAAATGCACATAGTAAATACATGCAGGTACGTATATTAAATAAATCAATTTACACATAATGACGATTTCAGTAACTTCAAAACCAACCTAATCAGTTACTGATACATCAGCCTGGTAAATGTCATACATATAATTTATATATTAATAGGTTTTAGATCTTTTTAAAAACATTCACAATGTTTTTTTCTTGCTTTGATCGATGAACTCTTCAATACACATATAGTGAATTGTGTTTGCAATGTATTACTACCAACTGTACTACAGGGTAAAATATCTCGCTTTCCCTTTTTAAATTTGTAGGCTAATAGTATAACTTTGGATAACACCAAGAATCAACACAGTACCAATTTGATGAGGCTAGTTATGGAAGTAAAATGTGCCTGATGGGGGATGATAATGAGTGGTGAGAAAAGGCTTTGATTAATACTAGTATCCTAAAATCTATTTAATTAATGACTGGGGAGTGACAACTCTGTTTAGCACAACAGAAAGAGAATGAACACATGAAATAAAACACAACTCGTGATGCTGTTTTACAACAAAATACAAATATATGATCCATAATGCCAAGGCGGTTGAATATTTAATTTTTTTCAACATAAATTTCTATTTAGATATATGGAAATAGTAAACCTTAATCAAACCAATGCTGTCTTTGTGACATGTATGATCAATGATGTAATGTCCTTCGTAATATGATACCAAGCTCCTTGATAATACTACATGTAGTAACGACAGTGTATATAATTTGATGCTGCTCAACCCCATTCTGGAATTGAATCACCCGGTCGCGCGTACATTTGAATGACGCTTGTTATACTTGGAATAGTTATTTCACTCCATACTTCAGTATGGAGTGAAATACTGTTTTTACTGATGATTCTTCTTCTCCTCCTTCTCCTTCTCCTTCTCCTGCCACTTCTTTAAATTGATTCAACTCCTTCGTTTTTGGGCGAAATTACACAATCGTTTTATTTGCTTTTTAGCGGTCCCCATAGGAAAGTATTGTGGGGGCGTACGCGCGTGACGTAATAAGAAAGGAATTCGGGGGAAGGCCCAAATATGGGCATACAAGCAGGTGTGGTCATGTTTGCAGATGTGGCTGTTGATTGGCTGTTGGCTAATTAATTTATTTACTACCATTTTCTACGTACAATAGGGGGATTACCAGCGCGGCTGGTCAACGCGGTCTCGGCCGTGGGCCATCGGCTGGTCCACGCGGTCTCGGCCGTGGGCCATTACTATTTGATACTCTGATATTGGATACCGATTCGTGTGATTCCTATAAACATTTCACCTAACTACGAACTAGTTGGAAGAATTATAGCTGCATGGATGCCTGTATATGATTTTAACAAACACTGAAAATCTGACGCAAAAACTGGCAGATATTTTGCTCTTCTCTGTTGGAACAACGCAAGCGGGAGGTCAATGACCTGCGCCCCGCGAGTACTGTAAACAACGGTACGTAATGTGTATCGTCGGCGCACGCGCGCGCGCCACGGTATCAACAATTTTCCACAATCTTCACCGACTAGTATTATATATTCTGTTATCGATTTCTGAAGAATCACCAAAATTGTAGAGTGTATCTCCTAGAAAGTCCCTTACTAGTACTTGAAGCGATCGTTACCGCCATGTTGTTCACTTTATATGACATACAATGCGGAGAGTAATGGAAACGCGTCCAGATAGCTCGGTAGGTAACGCGCAGGGCTGCAAGTCCAGACATTGCGAGTTCGAACCCCGGT